ACATATAAATTATATAATTTGGAAATGTTTGGTGGGCCGGATTAAAAAACTGAGTGGGCTGCATCTGGCCCCCGGGCCTTAGTTTGCCTGTACCTGGTCTACGTCTGTTCGTCTGGGCCGGTGCTTTAATCATTTCTGTGACACTTTCATCAGATTAATAAGGAGCCTGACACACACACACACACACAATTCTTCTTCTGTTTGTCTCTGTTGTTCTACTGTAGTGATCCTTATCCAGAACAATCAATTCTGAGATGAATTCTAAATCTCAGGCTTCTGAGACTTTGTTATGATTAATGTTGGTCTCTTTCTGGGCCTATTTTTGAATGCATATTATTTAACACTCACGCCATTTCTTTCTTTTTTTTTTTTTTTTTGTGGTTTGATCTTTTGTTCTGTCTGGTGTACGCTGGCTTTGAAGCAGACAGAACAAAACTGTCTTCCCAGAACAATGGCAGTGAGCTCCACATGGCTGCAGTGGCTGAGAGCAGAACAGTTCTGTCTGTTCTGAACAATACCAGTCGAATGAATATCTTATTGTCTCCGTGTGTTGTATTGTCCCGGTGCCTGTGCATATTCTTGTACAGTGAGTGTGAATTTTCTGGAACTTTTTTTGCAAAGCGTTGCTCGCTTTCAAAATTACAAGGAGGTGAACATAAAGCACCGTGGAGTGTTCCAGAAGGATCTCTCAAAGCCGGCAGTAGCGGCACAGACATGAATGCGTGTGTCATTCTGCTGATTTCCATCTGCGGTGACACAAACTGAAGTTGTAGCCTAATGACAGAGCCAGAGTCATTGGCAGGATCAGCACCTGTTGTGTGCCAACACCTGCCTGCAGCAGGCATTAAGATTTACAACAACAACTAAAGTGTGTTCCACTATAACTGGGAAACACTTGTGACAGATGTTTTGGCAAGATGCTCTCGCCAAAATGATCAAAGTGTGACAGAACAGAAGAGTCAAGTTCCATTCACATAATTAACTCGGGGAAATTGTGAGCAACAAATAAAGCAGGTGACGGTCGGAGGCAGAAGACGTCGTCCTTTGAGTCAGCTGAGCCGCAGTAAACGGATGAATGCAATCGCAAGTCAGATGTTTGGGAAATCAGACCTCAGAGAAAAGATGAAGCTAGAAGACACAGTTGAACAGAGAAATAGTAATCCAAGAAGTGACAGTGTAATTGGATTTTGGATTATTGTTTTACTAAAAAAACAAGATTTTTTTATTAACTACCCACTTGATCCTAACATCAATATAATGATCTATTGAAAAAAAAAACTAGCATTGGAGACCAGAACTTTCTTGTACTGGATTAGTGATTGGACCTACTGTGCAAGTATTTAAATCAAGTTATCTGCTTAAAATTAAGATTAAAAAGTCCTTTATTCATCGCATAGTAAATATTATTACTATTACTATTTACTATTATAAATCATTATTATTATTATTATTAACTGCCAAAACATTTCTATAGACATCCATGATTTTTTTTAGAGTCTGATCCTGGTTGTTACCTTGTTGTAACCCTCGCTCCACTGTTGTCAGTTTGCCCTGGTATTGAAGGAACACATTGATATAAACAACAGTTGAAACGTTCACACTTTAATGCTGTGAGTCTTTAATACATATTCACCTCATACACCTCAAAGTCTGTGTGATTTTGTTCTTGTTTTTTTGTTGAAAACACCTGCTGGTGTTTTATGCCACACTGGGGGAAACTCACATATCGACACAGTACAGCTGCGTCTCTCACTGAGAGGCGTTAGCACCGACAACCACTGAGACGACTGTATAGACACGTCTCCATTTTTGTTCCTATATCACTGCTGACAGAAAACACATGGTGTCCTACTTTCCTATTGCCGTGATCATAATTTTGAAAATTCCCCGTGGTCAGACTCAGACGCGAATTATGAAAAAAAAACTTTTTACCTTCAGCCTGTTGATACTTTCTTGAAGTACATTACAGCAGAGTGAGTATAGAAGGATTAAAAGGCAGCACAACGGCACTCGAGCAGCTTTGGACTGACACATGTCTTTGATTTGGGACGCAATCTTCTCCCAGCATACATTTATGACTTTCTGCAGGTTTCTTCCTCCCAGCATGCTCAGCACAAGTGTGTAGGAGTGATACACAGCCAGCAGTGACATACTAAATCAGCCGTAGAGACTGATCAAAGTACTGCATTGTTGGCCTGAAATTGGACTCGGACTAGCTGTGGCAAACTCACTTTAAGGCGAGTTTCCCTCCTGACTGCTCTCATTTCAGGCTCGGTGCTTTGACGAGTTCATCATGTGAAGTGTGGATATGAGGAGGGGGGGCAGTAGGTGAGGGGAGGTGGGGGGTTCAAATGGAGTGACGTGTTCTTGGTTTTGATGTTTTAACTGCAGGGAGGGCATGACTGTGTTGGTGTTTAAGTACCAGAAGGTAGAGCTGTACACAATAGAGATGTCAACACCGTGACCTCAGAGTCTCACGTGGTTTTAATTAATTAAAAAAAACTAAAATTAAATTAAAAAAAAGCTTTTTTACATATCCTAACATTGCAAACACATTTTACATATCCTAGCATGACGAACCATAACATTTATACAATTTATAAAATTAAAACTGTATAAAATATAAA